GGAACTCAGTATTCAGTTCTTTACTATTTACTTCAAGGCTTAAATCAACACCAAATATTGTCCTAATTGACAGTATGTGGCATAGGTAGATAACTTTCCCTGATTTAATGCACAGTGCATACTTAGCCTGAATCCTGAAGTCTTTACATTATATCTGGTTTCCTGTTCAAAATAAGGGACATAGAGGGGGATACACCTAATTTTGTTTTGGTTCCCTAATTTAGCCATCTTTGGGTTAATTCACCTAACAGGTTAGTTTTCATTGAGTTGTTTCCCAAGTGCTCCATTCTTTTTTCTACTCTACCATTTCCTGTCCCTTTGTGGATAGTTTTGACTACTTTTGGGAACCTACAGATAGATCATTAAGCTATAACTTGTTTCATTTTAGCTGGGCACCACTCATAAAGTTGAGTTATTTCCTTTGAGTTTATTTGCAGGATGAAGTGAGGGGATAATCACACGTTGTTTATGAGAAACTCTACCACTTGTGAGATATCCTTAATTTTAGCTTTTACTTTACTTGTATGTTGGCTCATAAAAAAGCATTTCTCCACTTTGTCGTGACTTGAAGGAAGTGGTAGTTATGTGTACATTTGAGTATTTTGAATTGAGACTAGGCTATACATTGGGATTATAAGACAACACATTTGTCCCAGGAAGTATTTCTGGAAGTTTGTTGGTATTTTGGTGAGTCTTTGAGTTGGCAACATGGACCAATCTGTTTTCTTCCAAGACATAGAACTTGGTTCTCTAACATCTCTCTTATTTACGCTGCGTATAATATTGAAGTTTGGAAGAATGATTCCTTTCTCAATCAAAAATGGAATCATGGAAGCATCTTTCAAAACTATGGGGAATATTGTAACATAGCTAAAATTCTGCCTGCCATGACCTTCATCTTCCTGTCTCTTCCAAGGTAGCTTAGATGACAATAATGATAATAGCAAAGAACATTCAATGAGTGCTTCAATGATATGATGGACGGTCCCCCGTATATTTTTTCAACGTGAATTAACTGGTTGTTTTCTCACAACAACCCTGTCCCCTGAGGGTTACAGATGAGGAAGCTGAAGCATGAATGAGCTTTGCTGACTGTTGGCTGTTCTGATTGTCATGGGTTCACAGATGTCCTGGAAATCTTCCAAGGCTAAGCAGGGACTCCAGCTTGAGGAATTACAACTCCAGGACTGGCCTGGGGTTAAGATTCCTCCAAACTTGTATACTGTGGTTGGCAGCATCGTGATAGGAATCTTTTTCTCCCTGCTGAAGTCTATGATTGTGGCTGGAAAAATTTCCACACATTCTCTTTGTGCCTTTTCCACCATCTGTGTTTTTGCTCTGGCACCTCCAGCTTCTCCCCACTGTCCTGGGCCTCTGTAATGCATTGGTCACTGGTATGTGAATATTTATAGTTCTAGCATTGGCTTTTTCTTTAACAGAAGTTTTTCTTTAACAGAAGTTTTAGAAGACTAAAACTTCTTTTTTTTTTTGAGTTGGAGTTTCACTCTATTGCCTAGGCTGGAGGGCAGGGGCACACTCATGGCCACCGCGGCCTCGGCCTGCTGGGTTCAGGTGATCCTTCCACCTCAGCCTTCCAAGTAGCTGGAACTAGAGGCATGTACCACCACGCCTGGCTAATTTTTTGAATTATCGTAGAGATGAGGTCTCGCCAAGTTGCCCAGGCTGGTCTCGAACCCGTGAGTTCAGGCATTCCTCTCACCTTGGCCTCCCAAAGTGCTGGGATTATAGGTGTGAGTCACTGCACCCAGCCCTAGAAAACTTCTTTAAAAAATAATTGTAATTTCATAAAGAGTCTGCTGGCATATTTTCACCCTGTTCACTGGGTGTGTGTTGTGCAGGTGTGAGCTGCTGGAAAACAGGCTGGAGTTTGGCTTTTGGGTTGTGGGTCCCCCGGAGCATCTTCTGTGGTCCATATGGGGACATCATCTGGGCCTGGGGACCTGTTATCCTTTCAGTAAAGTCTGTCTGTGAAGAGCTCTGCAAATGTACTTTTGTTTTTTCTGCTTCTCACAGTAGCTATTAATTCTCTTAAAATGCTTTAAAAACAGGGAACTAGTAGCACTGCAATATTAAAAGAACTGATTTTAGGGCAGCAGAAAGTGACAGCTCCAGTAAAATGTCCTATTGTCATCACCTACCAACCTCAAAGCAGTAGAGAGGAATGGTGTGCATGTCAGAGGTGGCCATGGCATGGTCAGCTGCAGTACAAAGTGGCGGTTGGCAGCATGGTGGGTCAAAGCAAGGCTTTGGCTGGAGGAAGATTGTCTGAGCTTGAATCCTGGCTCTACCAGCCAGGTGACCTCGGGCTTCTCTGGGCTGCTATTTACCCATATGTAAGTGGGGGTAATCCTAGGATTGATGTGAGGCTTCAATGTAGTAGCAATCTATCAACATTAGCCTCCATCCAATATTTCAGCACACAGCTGTGTACGTCGCTGTTGGTGGGAAACCTGACCTCGAGTGAGGATATACCCGCACCCCAATCTGCATCTCTTCCAAGAGATGCCCCTGTGTGTTTTTCTTCCTGAAGGTACTGTAGCTCCCATCTTCCCATCACGTAGGGCTATAAATGAGATGACTGTCATCTCACTGGACTACTGTCGGCCCGCATGTGTGCATACCTACAAATGCAGTTCCTCTGGGCTCCTTTGCAGAGCTGGCGTTTTCCAGGCATGTCCCCCAGATTCCCAAGCAAAGCTGAGAACTGCAAACCTTCCACTTCAGCCACATACACACCACTGCCAGGGAACCACCCCATTGACAGGGACTTTTCTTACCCCCTGCATACAACTGCACAATGGGAAGGCTGAGCTTAATAGAGACTCGGACGACAAGATTTAAATAAATAAGCTGTATTATCTGTACAAAAAATATAAATACAGTTTTGTGTTTTAGAGGAGGAAGTGCCTCCTTCCACATTATCCAGCAGCCTGAATAGTCTCATGGTGCCGCTGGGTCACAATTCACAGAACAAACATTAAATGTACATTCATCTCATGCAAGGAGCACACTGCTGCCCACCCCAAACCTTGGCTCTCCAGCTTGCTCTGAACCCCACTGCCAACTGCTCCAACCTGACACCGCGCTGGAAGATGCCTGCTCGTTAGGATACATCAATGCTGACCATGGATTTTCAATAGCTTGCATTAGCCATATTAGTAGTGGTATGGAACGTGTTTTTACCATCCCATGCAGAATGATTGTATCACAAATGAGTCTCTTCTTACTGCCCCAGCATCCCATGTTAATTTTTACAATGTGGTCTGTACACTGTGAGTGGGTCCAGAGTTAAACACCAGGTGCTTTTAAAAAATAGAAAAAATACAATAATCACCACTGAGTTTACAGGAATACAACTGCAGGAAGTTAATAAAAAGCTCCCCCAAATAATTTTGTTTTTCTGGATGACAATGTACAATTATTCATATTGCACTTTTTTTTATACAAGAAATCCTAATAAATATCCACAAAAGATATACAGACATAGAAAACATTCTCTTTTATTTTAAATAAACATTACACTGATTTTAAGTAACATGATTTCTTAGAGCCTATTTTTTTTTTTTTTTTGGTGGCAAGGAAGAAAGAGACCCAACCTAAATTGTCCACAGCTCACCTGGGGAGAACACAGATGGGCGATGTCTTTCTCCCAAGTTTTACTTCCGGGCAGGCTGGGAAGTGCAGCCCTGATGGCAGGGCTGGCCCCAGGGTGAGTGGCATTTCATACGTGTGTGAGGGGAGGCTTGTCTTGAGGGTAAGTAACTCTGGCAGCCCTTCCTCACCCTGGCTACTCAACTGGGGTCATTCAGGAGATGGAAGCAAAAGTTACTCATCCCAAGCTGTTTGGCTTAATGAGCAATCTGCCAGAGTCCCACCGCTTTTGTTTTTGCCGTTTGACTGCTCCAGCCATTTTACCGTGGCTGCTGTGTGTTGCTGAAGTGTGTGTGCTGCTTTGCCCGCTGAATTATCTGATCGCTCAGATGGGAGTATGTCAATGACTAGAAAGCTGATAAAATTTCATTGTGTGTGGAGGATGGGCTGAAAAGCCTTTGTGGATCGTGACGGAAGCAGCTTCAGCTATCCTTGGGTTTTGCCACGATGCTTCCTCATCCACCCCACCTGCTAGATACAGACGACATCCAGCAGCTCTCCCTGTGCCACGGGAGGGCCCGCATACCCCAGGGTGGCCGCTGGGAGAGGCAGGGCACACTGTGGGCACGCACAGACCCACTGTCGCACCCCAGTCCCTGGCCAGCTCAGAAAGCGGTTGCTACAACCTGATGGATACTCTCTGGCAAACCGATGATTGGATTGATCTTGACAGACTGACCCTAGTCCCTGGCCCTTAAGTGGAGCAGCAGAGACCATAGAGGCAGAAAGCCTAGCTGATTCATGCCCAAAATGCCCCTGGCCCACTGTGGCAATAGTTGAGGGCTAGAGGACTCTTGATTTAGATAAAGAGGTGCCACCGTGGCTTTCCTGCACGGCCAGATGCCGGCCCCTTGCTGGCTTTGCTGCAGCTCCAGTTGACCCGGATATTCCACCCTTGGAGGGCATGTCTTCTGCCGTGCAGCGTGGGCACTTGGTGGGGGCAGCGTGCCTCTAAGCACGGTCCCGTGCACACGGAGTGTGTGTCACATGAGTCTAGAGTGGCTGCCTGGAAGCCCCGCTGTCTGTTCATTCCTCCCCATGAAGGAGCGGGTACAGGCTTCGTTTCCGCCCCTACCCTCCCTTCCTCATCTTCTGTATCACTGTGTGCCTTAGGCCTGCTTTGATGGTTTCCTTCTGGACTCCTTCCCGTCCATGTTTTGAGTTCTCTTCTTTCTGTGCCCGCTCCCCAACTAGAAGGACTGAGTTCTGGGCTGGCTTCTGCCTCAGCATGGTATCCCCTCCCTCTTCCCTCGTCCTGATCATGACTGAGGGGACAGAGGCAGAGGAGGAGACGAAGGAGCCACACACTCCTGCGTGAATAGTGCATGTCTAGGAAAGACACAGGCGTCTCATGTTTGTACCCATCCACTACAGACCCTCTGGGCTCCCTGCTGTCCCTGGGGGCGGTGCCTGCCTCTTCCTAGGTCTCTTTGAGACGCCGGGTTTGGGAGGGAGCCAGCCCTGCAAGGGAGCCCCTGCCGTCTGCCTGGCCAGCTCTGCAAGTTCCTTTAGACATCGGTCCTGTCCTTTCCCAGCGTTCTGTCCTCCAGCTAACTGAAAGAAAAACCATGCTCAGGTCCTCAGGCCTGAGGGTGGAGGTGGAGGAGAGGGGAGGAGGTGTGTGAGGGGTGGGGAGGGGGAAATAAATAAATAAAACGAAGAAAGCTTCGGTTCTGTCCAAGGCGGTTGCGTGAGTCCTCCATGTGGCCAGGGTAGAGCTCTTCCCCATGCCCTGTCTTCACGCTTTGCCACAAGTTCCGCAGCAGCGAGATTTGAACTGGCTGAGCTGACAGAGTTTTAGCTGCTTCACCTTCTCGCAGTACCTGGTGGTATCTCGGCACTCCACTGGGAAAGGACAGGGTGGGGAAAGGGGACAGAAACGAGATGTGAAACAGAGACCAATGGGCACAGGCGCTGCTGTGTGCTTCCTGGGCTTGGCCTCGGCCTCTGCTCCCCAGCCTCTCTGGGTGGGCCTCACTTGGCAGAGCTCAATGGCTTGCCCCCTAGGCGGCCGGCGGGGGTGGG